GGATGTGCAGATCATTCGTGGTTTTGTCCCCCGGGCCCCAGTCCCCTGTCCCTCCCTCGCTCTCCTCTCCCCTTCCCTCAGCTCTTATCTTTCCTCCCCTTGGCTCCTCTCCTCTTCCTCCTCTCCATTTTGGAGCATCTTGGATGAGCTGGCCATCACAGGCAGTTCTGGAGCTCGACCTGGCTCACTGTGACCTTGGTTTGCATTCTGACTCCTTGTCACCTTTCATGGTCTTGCTTGACTTGTCCCCTCTCTGCCCTGCTTCCCGGGCTCAGGAGAGAGAGCAGACAGAGAGCTCACCTCGCGTCTTGGGTTTCTGTGGAAGCCGCCTCCAGGACCCTGGGTCCTGGGATCTCAATGCAGACTCCTTAGCATGTCCTCTCTGGGGAACTCCTTAAAATACAGCCATGTGGCTCTCAGAATCGAGGCGAACGCATGGCTTTGAAGGTCTATTCCTGGATCAAAACCTTCTGTGGAGACTGAGGTGACTCTGGGTGCCCCCCCCCACCGCATTTGAAGTCAGGACATACTATGGTGTGCTCTCTCCCACTACCCCTTCCTTCTCATGTCCTAGAAATACTTATTTCCCAGGCTCTCTCCCTTTTGCAGTAACCAGTATGGCTAACCGCTGAATATCATACCTTGGCTTCCACAAATGAATAACCACGGCACCGGCCTTCCGTGGAAATGGTTCTGTCCTTTCAAGAAGAATGGGTGTGGATCTGATAGGGTTGGAGTCCCAGGCAGAGAGAGCAGATGAATGAATCAACATAGAAATAGTAAAAGGTGCTGATCCTTGGGGGGGGGGAGAAAGGGAGGGAAGGAGGATAATATAAAAACCCTGATGTGCTATATTTTATCTATTCTGTCTGCGGAGGAATTAGGGTCAGGCCCCAGGTGACTGCTGCTTCTGCTGGTGTTCCCTTCAGTTCAGGTGGGCTGGCTCCTTTCTTTCTTGCCTATCCCCTCCCTGGGCTGCATTAAGATGACAAATTTCACTTATGGGCTAGGGCACGGGACATGAAAGCCTGAGCTATTCCAGCTAACTGAGTGAGTGCAGATGAGCTGATTTATCGTGGGGTGGAAAGGAAGAGTGTTTGAAGAACAAATAGATGTTATCCTGACTCTGCCACAGAAAGGTGCATAGAAGGTCTGAACTCCGCCTCCAACCTCCGCCTCCTTTGCCTCATTACCCCTCTTGAGGGTGGAACTGAAGCATTCAAGTAATTAAGGAACTTCTTTAAGGCACACACATATGCGCAAGCACACGAAGATGAACTCCAATTTTGGAGCCATTTTAGTAGTCGTATTATCAATATTGTACTACTACTACTTGTAGTATTATACATGCTTTATTATTTAGGGTGAGATAAATACAAGGCATGTCTCGGGTCCTTTTCGTCTGTGAACTCTATAATAGATCATTCTCTTACCCTGCCTTTGAGAAAGGGAGGACAGGAAAAAAAAAAACAAAACAAAACCCCATCACCACCAACAACTTGAATTGCAAGAAAGCAAGTCCATCAGATCAAACACGACTGCGCTAAATACTAAAATGTTCAAAGTCCGACAGAGATAGATAAAGGCTTTGATGGAAAGTGGATATTTCCCAGGGACATTACAAGCAATAATCCAGATGTTCGGGTGTAATGCAACGAGTGTCCGCGGATAGAGCAGGCGTTCCTGCCAAGTAGCCCCCGACGCAGGCCTCCGCCCTGCCCTCCCATGCTGGTCTGCCATATGGAACCCATCTCCAGACCCCCTTAATAACCGGCTTTGGATTCCATTTCCACAGAACTCATGGAGCTTAAGTGGGACCATTTTATGGACAAGTTAGATAGAAGCCTTTCCAAGATAAACATCCAATTTGAAATTAGGACATACCAAGCCGCAAAATTATTTTAGGCCAATATTTCATGGAAGCGCTCCCATTTTTCTTCGGCGATTGCCAGACTGTAGGGTGCCCTTTGATCCTTTGTGGACATCCACCCCCTCCCGCCCCCCTTTTTATTTTGTGAAAAGGGTTTTGAAATAGTTGCAGTGTTTGGGGAGGACGCTTTATCTGTCGGAACTTTGAAGCATGGCGGTGGGACAGGTCGTGCTTTAGCGTGTGGGTTGACAAGTCAAACTTTTAAGAAAAAGAAAAAAAAGGAATCACAACAGGATATATGAATCAAAATCTCATTTTTGTTTGGAAGGTAGAACTTTGCAGACCTTGCCCTTGATCAGCTATAAAATGTATGAAGTTTACCTCCCGCTTCTCCATTACTGAGCTTCAGACCTGTGCGCTCAAGCGTGGGCTGTGTATGCAGATATTGTGTTGTTGTCAGCAAATACAAAAAAGTTGCTTTTTTGAAACCATTTCACAAACTTTTATTATTATTATTTTTCCCTTCCCATCTCCCCCCCTTCATCCCCCCTCCCCCCCCCACCAAAGTTGTAAAGTTCATTTTTCGACATAAAGACTTGTACATCTCATTGTTGCAGTGGGTCCACCTGTATCCCTATTTAAACGATTTGTTTTTTCCCTTCCCCTCCACAAATTTCACAAACTTTTATTATATTCTACCTGGAGATGAACTGCAAATAATTTTTTTCCCCTGTCCACATATTTTTTGCAAATAAGTTTTAAGAAAGCATTGTTCACCAGGGATAGGGATGGTAGCTCAGTGGTGGAGAGCTTGCCTAGCATGTGTGAGGTCACGGGTTCTATCCCAGCCTCCTAAGAAAGTGAAATACGGTAAAAGTAATTTTTTTTCAAAAAGCATTATTCATGTTTACTAGAGGAGACTCCCCCCCCCACACCACTTTTTAAAATTACTTCTTTGTCTATTTATATGCAACATTCTGTCTTGGAACCTCTAAATGTGTTTTCCTCCCTCTTGTTTCATTCTGTTCCTTTTTCTGCATATGTGTGTGTGTGTGTGTGTGTGTGTGAGAGAGAGAGAGAGAGAGAGAGAGAGAGTTGTTTCCCAAGGAAAGCAGTGTGGATAAAGGTTTGGGACCATATATGTAGTTTCCATACATGTAGTTCATTAAAGGCTTTCATGATGAATCACAGAAAAGTAAGGATCTCATAAAATGATCAACAACCCGCCTGGTCTGGTACTGTGAAATCGTCCGCAGAGAGTGGAGGAGGGACATTGGGGGGATGAGGTAAGTGGGTGTGTAATTAACACAGTCCCCCGGAACCATGTGTTGTGATAAATTGTGACTAACTGGTGTCTGAGCAAATGGATGTGTAAATGATTTGGAAGATAGAGTGAGCAGATGACCGGAATGACTATATAGTATTGGAAATTCACGGCCTTACCGTGACGTCTGACGCCATTGATATTCTCCAGTCCATTTATTTCTCCTTCCAATAATAAATAATAATAAAAAAAAGTCTGTCCTGCGCCATTCCACTCACTGGAGGATGGAAATGAATCCTGCCAGGTAACTCAGCTCTCGGCTCTCGCTCAATCCAAACCTATGAAAAGACATCACTGAGTTCACTGTGTGTGTGGGGGTATGTCCAGAGTATTTAGTGGCACTCAAGAAATCGATTAATTTTTGTTGTTGTTGTTGAGTGTGATTGGGGCATGGTGATTATATAAAAACAAAAACCGGTTTTGCTTTTAGATCTTTCAGCTAACACAATAGAGCGAAGAGCTAAGATTGGTAAAATAGGGAGTCTGATAAGTTAGAGAGATTTATTCTAATAATCCTTTTAACCATTGGGTGTGTCTTACAAATATTACAGGGGCTGGAGGTGTGGTGTATCCCTAGAGCACCTGGATAGCAAGCCCAAGGCCTTGAGTTCAAACCCAAGTACTGCCAAAAAAAGATAAAATATTGCCTAAGGGAAATTAAAAATACAGTTGGCTATCATCACCTTAATTTAACAATAGGAGGTGCTCGCCTACTTGTGCCTATTGTGTTTAGCTCATGTATATATTTATATGTGAATATGTATATGTAAATACATAAATGTATACGTATACAAATAGGCAAATATACATATTGATGCATAGATACATCATTACAAACACTCATACCGATGCACATAGTTGAGTGACTGTAGATTAATAACTCAGAAAAGTAAATAATAGCTGACTGAATTGCTCCTGGGTCCCAGAAGTTCTGATGAATGTTTAGACTTCCCTCTTCCCGCTCCTCCTCCACCCATCTTGTCCCACCCTCTCCTCCCGCAGAGCTCACTTTGCGAGCACGTTTATTTTTTTTTAATTTAATTTAATTTTATTTGTGAACATACTGTACAGAGGAGTTACAATTACATAGGCAGGATAATGCGTACATTTCTTACCAAGCATTGCAGCCTCCTCTTTGTTTACCCTTCACATCCCTTCCCAGCCTCCCCCCTCCCCCCCAATCCCAATCCTTCTCCTTCACCCCTCCCCCTCCCCACCGACGTAAAGCTCGTTTTGGACATGACAACTTGTACTTCTCATTGTTGCAAGATGCCCCTCAGTAAAGAAAGGAACAAGAAAATGTGGTATATATACACAATGGAATTCTATGGCTCCATAAGAAAGAATGACATTGCCCCATTTGTTAGGAAATGGAAAGACTTGGAAAAAATTATATTAAGTGACTTTTTTTTTTTTTACAAGGGCAACGTGGCCTTGTGAATCACGTTATGGAATCGAGATTTTTTTTTAAACCCATCAGATAAGGGGTGGGGGATAAAGTCCTCCTTGGGATGACTTAACTGCCCCAAGAGCAACCGCCTTGCTCTTCCCTCCCTATTTCCCAGAAGGCCTTCCCTTGCTTCCTAGGAAGAAAGCAGCCCAGAGTCCCTCTGGGGGGGAGTGGGGCTCTGCTGCATTGTTCATCGCTCAGTACCTGAGAAGCAGGTCCTGCAGAGCCAGTGAGAAACACAAACTTCCCACTGAGCGAGGGAGTGGTTTTCGGGTTGCACAGGAATGCCTGTGCTCAGGGAGGGTCACGGGAGGAGGGCGGCCAGCTCACCTGTCCTCTCTTCTGTCTGGCTTTAGTCCTCTTTCATCCGCAACCTGCGCCTCTCAGAGTCCTTGAAAAAGAACCAACTCTGGAATGGGACCCTCAGTATCACTCTGTTGGAAGGAAGGAATCTCTCAGGAGGACATATGACTGAGGTGTTGGTTCAGTTCAGACTGGGAGATCAGAGGTATAAGAGCAAGGTAAGCTCAACTTCTGAGAAAGGACACATTTCCAGAATTAAAGAAAGAAAAAAGTCCTAAAACATGGTTTTATTACCCCCCCCTCCCCGTCCTAAACTTTATGAGAATGAAACCTTTAGATTTCCTGAAGCATATTAACTAGCGTCCTGGAAAACAAAAATGATTGTTTCGGATGCATTCAATTAATCCGAGGATTGTTTTGGCTGCTTGGGCGAATTGATTATAAGACACTCAGAGGCAGAGCAAGTTTTACGGAACCAGTGTTAAATGCATGGTCTATTATTATTTTTTCCATCTCGGAAATGAGCAAAGTTAAACTTCACAGAATGCAGAAAAAAGGATTCTTAAATATTTCTCAAAATCCAACAGAGGTAAATAGCATACTGCTTGATATCTAAATGGGAACATTGGAGATCATTGAAAACCTTTTCAAAACTGTAAACCCCACCCCGTGGCTCTTACTTGTTAATCTCAACACCAAAAATAGTTAGCAGAAATCATTAACAAGCACAGTGGTTCCTCTGCTGTGAATTTGTTTAAAAAAAATAAACTCAGGTATTAAGAATAACAGTCATTTAAAATGTCCTTAAATAGGTAAGACATCTTATGCTGCCAATTCAAATTCCATTTCTTTTTTAAATCATAATGATGGGATGTGATTTTCTTTCAAAACAGCAATCTTCATTAGTTTTGCATCACTGTCAGGCAAAGAATATTTCCTATGTTTTATGAATTAAAAGAGCCAGAGTATTTGGAAGTTATGTCACTTGCTAAAACCCACAGAGATTTAGATTGGGGGGTAGGTGGGGAAAGATGTCTGCTCATGATTTCCTGCATCGTGGGACCAGTGCAGAAGATCCAGGCAACTCTGAGAGTTAGTTAGGGAGGTTTGAGGTGTTGCCAGTCCTGATGTATTTTCCGAACCCAAATCAAAAGTTACAAATGTTGTCCTCCAACCCAAAAGATGAATAGAGAAATGAGAGACACATTGAAAACTAGTTTGCCAAAACAAAAAAAAAAGTCTTTAAAACAAGAGAAAGAAACGGAACTGCACCTGAGCTGTGCAGATTATTTGTTTAAGAAGGTTCTTGTAGGGGCCCCCTTGCTGGGAATGCATGCGGCATGAACACATCTCTGAAATTCCTGCAGCCAGCCAACATCAGGCTAAGGATGTATGGGAAATTGTATTCAGCAAAAACACTATTTGGCTGTTTGGACTAAGGTGGAGGGTAGATAAACTGAAATCTAGTATGTTCTTCTGTGGAGAATGTTGCTTTTAATTCTCCTGTACTGGCTTTTCAATCTGGTGATCTGATATGTTAAACTCGATGTGAAAACTAGCTTAAGTGACTTGCCCTGTTGGCTGCGGCTGAGGTCTGCGTTGCTAAGCGTTCACCCTGGATGCTTCAAGCTCACAAGGATATTTTAACTCTTGAGTCACAAGCTGGATCTTTATCAATACAAGATCAACAAAAACACGGCCAGCCAGGGAAGCAAACGCAAGCCGTGTCTAATGGGATTTTTCACATTTCACATCACTCCTGTTCATTTTAAAATATGGCTGCAGTGGAATTTCTACATTCCCTCCTTGCCGCCCCCCCTGCACCCCTCCTCCCGCCACTGTAGTGTCTGGATTTCACTGCTTTTGGATTTAAAAATAGGCAGCGATGTAGACGTTATAGCTTTCTCCTTTAATGCATTTGACAGATGTTAATTAAGACCCCCAAACTGTTAATTTATATATTTCTGAAGTCAACACTCCGCGTATTTGCCAACAAGAATGTTATTTGAATTTGATTAAGCAATTTGTTTATCTTCCTTAAGAAAGAGCAGTTACAAACTGTCTTATCTGTATCTCTATATATTTACATACATATATCTAGATAGATAGATATATAGAGACATATCTATATAGATAAATAGGTATCAATATGGATAGATTCATGCGTGTGTAAATATATATAGACATACATATCCATGTCTCGATAGATGCAAGGTGTATTGTTATTATTGTTACAGTATTCTTTTGAACTTGGTCAGTAAATTACGGGGTCTCGCTGGGTGTGGGGGCTCACACTGTAATCCTTAGCCCTCAGGAGGCTGAGGCCTGAGGATTGACCCTTTGAGGCCAGCCATCCTGAAAGCCTGTCTTAGGAAAATAAATAAAAGACATCAATACCTGGCTGGATGGGAGAGGCCGCTAACTGAGGTCTCATTCATCCCACCTTACTTAAGGGGGACATCCCTTTCCCCGGGGGCCCTCCTGCCCGGTAGAGTGATTTCTGTTGCTGTGTAGCTGCTGTGGCCGCCAGTGGCGTCTGAAGAAAGTAAACGATCTGACTGCATGTTTTCTAGACACTGTGTAAGAATGCAAACCCGCAGTGGCAGGAACAGTTTGACTTTCACTACTTCTCTGACAGGATGGGCATTTTGGACATTGAAGTGTGGGGCAAAGACGGTAAAAAGCACGAGGAGCGCATGGGCACGTGAGTTTCCCTTCCCATCCCCCGCTTCTCAGTGTCTGCCCGGTGGGGGTGGGGGTGGGGGGGAGACTACTGCTCACCAGTATCCTGTGATTTGGGCTGAGGGAACTCTGAAATCAGGCCTATGGCCAGAGCAATCAGAATTTCATCAGTAGATACTATGCAGTCTTGAAAAAACAGTGTTTAAAAACAGAAGAGGGGCTGGGCAGGTGGCTCAGTGGTAGAGCGCTTGCCTTGCATGCAGGAGGCCCTGGATTCGATTCCTCAGCACCACATAAGCAGAAAAAGCCAGAAGTGGTGCTGTGGCTCAAGTGATAGAGCGTTAGCCTTGAGCTGAAGAGCTGAGGGACAGTGCCCAGGCCCAGAGTTCAAGCCCCAGGACCGACCACTCCCCACTGCCCCCCCCCAAAAAAAAGCAGAAGAGAAGACAGGAAGATAGGGTCCCCTATTTCCACAGGAGGTGGGTTTGAGAATCAGGGTTCCAGCAGCTGTCTTGGGGTGATTGGGGAAGCAGCTCAACTTCTTTTGAATACTGCACATGGAGAATAAATAGTCAGCGCGGAGTCTTATTTTTGCATACTGAACATTGAGGACCGCTTTGAGTCTTGCTTCTACTTTGTGCAGGGAAATGTTTCTTTTTACTTTCACGCTGTGGTGCTAAATAAGTCCTTGCTAAACTTAACAGACAGACACAGAGAGAGAGGGAGAGAGAACAAATCACTCCTCACCTGCAGCTCATTGATCGGACAGTGAGGCCCAAGAAGAGAAAAAGATTTCAGGGGGAGAAATAGCATGAGATCCAGTGCATGGACTGGTTCTGTTTTTCCTGTCAAGTTCTTAGCTCGGCCTGTGGAAGTCTGTGTTAGTCCTTCCTGCTGTCTTCTCTCAGTAGATTGTTTTGAGCGAGTTGGGAAGGGATGGAAGTACCCACAGAACATTCTATTGTTTCTCAGTGAATGCACCCTCTTGCAGGGCACTGTCTGATTGCAGGGTTATTTCAGCAAGCCTGACTCGCGCGCACCGATGCCAGTAACTTTCCCCGGCATGTGGAAAATACCTCCGCGTGTGCAACACACCGCCTGCGTGCATCCCGCCCCACATGTCCAAAAGCTCCTAGTCATCCTACGCTGTCCTAGCCCTGGTGCCCTGAGCACCATGCTTTGCACCCTTTCCTCCTCTGTAGTCCGTTCTTGTGTGACAGGCAGCAGTGGCTGCTTTGTTCCCAACATCCCCGGGCTAGGTGGCGCACAGCACCCTGAGCCACACATCCCCGGGCTAGGTGGCGCACAGCACCCTGAGCCACACATCCTTCCGGGCTCAAGGAGGAGACACCCGGGGTCAGTGTTCACGGTCCTTGCCTGTCGGTGACTAGTCTGACCTTGCTGGCCACTGTTCACTTACATGCAGAAGTGAGACATCTCAGCCGCTTCCCTGCAGCTTGGGCTCTGTGACAGATCCGTGCCCCGAACATGGCAACAACCAGGGGGGGACAAGGATCCTGGGCTGGCCGGGGAGTGGGGAGAAGTTAGACCACGCAAGGTGCTCTGTGTCCCCAAGTGCCATCTGCACCGTGGGAACCCATCCCCCGGGGGCAAGTGGCCCGCAGATGATTTCTGTCTGTACATCCATCCCTCTGTCTGTCACGGCATTGGTTGTGCAGTGTCCATCACTGGACAGGAAGCTCTTAATGAAAAGTTGGGTTGCTTCACAGAGACCAGGGAGAAAGGAAGTTGCCCCATTACAATCTAGTGGGTATTATTATTATTTGTCTGCTGTGGGGCTTGAACTCTGGGCCTAGGCGCTGTCCCCGAGCTCTTCAGCTCAAGGCGAGTGCTCTACCGCTTGAGCCACAGCGCCACTTCCGGTTTTCTGGTGGTTCATGGGAGATAAGAGTCTCTCCAGCTTTCCTTCCCCGCGGCTGTGTAGCTAGGGTGACAGGCACAAGGCACCAGCACCCGGGTTATTATTAATTTTTGAGATGCGTTGATGATTTTAGCTATTTCCTGTTTGTAACTGAGAAGTGGACTTTGATCTCTGGCTCTTCTTTCCTTCCTCTTCATGCATTGCTTTTATTTTTTATTTTTTTGTTTTTTTAAGTATCTTTTTCCTTTGTTTTCTGTCCTGTTGGTGTGGAAAATAGCGGGAGCATCTCTTGGGGACTGACTTCACATCCGCTCTTTGCAGGAAAGTTTAGTTGGAGAGAAATCTGTCCTCACCAGAAGCACAGCTGCTCGGATTTGAAGGTGTTGCTGGACAGGCTACTCACAGTTCTTTTTTGATTGCTTTTTTCATCTTTCCCTTCATTCTCAGGCTTTGGATATTTTATGTTCTTAAGTATTTTATATTTAGGCATTTTATGTCTTGGCTGTTGTCTGAATACTTTTCTTTCTTTCTTTCTCTTTCTTTCCTTCCTTCCTTCCTTCCTTTCTTTCTCTCTCTCTCTCTCTCTTTCTTTCTTTCTTTCTTTCTTTCTTTCTTTCTTTCTTTCTTTCTTTCTTTCTTTCTTTCTTTCTTTCTTCTTTCTCTCTTTCTTCTTTTCACATCAGAAGATTCTCCAACAATGAGAACAAGTGACAACTGTCTCCTGAGGTCCTGTTTCGTATTTGACCTTGAATAAGTCATTAAAGCCTCTTGGGGGTGAGGTGGATTTTTTTTTTCAGAGCAAAGCTTCCCACTGTAGGCATTTTGACACGAAGGTAGAACAAATCTCCAGGACAGTGAGCCCCGGAGTCTCCTCTCTGGTTGTACAAGGGGTTCACCACCAGCTTGAACCTGCTAAGTGACAGTGGCTGTGACGTTGTCTATGGCCAGTGCTCCTGTTAGTAATTTGGGGGAATTTTTCTAGAAGGCAACTGTAGAAAACCCCTTACTCTGACAATTTTCAAGTCTGCAACTTAAATAAATGAAGTATGGCTACCAAACCCCACTATTTAAAAAAAATACTATGACCTACCCCTGTGAACCACAGCTCTACTTCTGACATTTTGGTGGTTAATTGGAGATAAGAGTCTCATGGGCTTTCCTGTCCACGCTGGATTTGAACTTCAATTCTCTGATCTCAGCCTCCTGAGTAGCTAACGTTATAGACATGAGCTAGCTACCTACCTACCTACCTGTACCTGACTCGGGTCTAGACTTAACCCACTCTCAAGATTTATTTTTTTAATAAAGTGCAGAACTCTTGAGTATATACGAATATAGAGTATTCCATTGTGTGCTGTTTCAAAGAAATCCTATTCTCTTAAATGGGTACTTCTTCATTTCAGGCTGATTTTAGAGATGAACTTCTGATGGCATGTTCTTAGACTTCATCTAGTCAAGAAAGGTTGAGAAGAAGAATCCACGAGCCCATTTTGGCCTGCCTCTCGGTCAGTGCCAGATGGTGTCTTATAAAGCGGCTGTGACATTCTCCCCATTTATTAGTGGCTTTCCGGCAGTGAAATCAGGGCCGGTGTATTTTCTCTGGACAAATTGGCACCCAGGATCATTGATCTGCTTTTACAGCCAGGCTTGGCACGTTTACTGTTTACTTCTGTTTCCCTGATTCTTTAGCCTCTGAGATGTTCAGCTTTTAAAACTCTCACACTCTCTCCTGCCCCTTTGCGTGGAAGTTAAAAGCTGACCAGTCTGTAATATAAAACATAGAGTTATGGTAATGAATACGAGGTTAAAAGCCCATGGTCGGCAAGGAAAACTTGAACAGGTTTGGCTGATGGAGACGGTAAAATTATGTGTTGAATTAGAAACATTAAAAGGCCACAGAATTAATGGTGAAAGACAAGCACAGGAGGTCAGAAACAATGCTAAATCAGCACATTCACTGCCTGTGGTGGAGAGAGAAAAGGTTTAATGTGTCTGTTCTAGAAAAAGAAAAAAGAAGAAAGGAGTCATTTATTCCCTATTTCCTTTCGGTGTGTAGAACACGCTGGAGTTCCCAACCTGGGAGGACTACATTTATTTCAGTGGTTTTTCTAATGTAAGGGAAGAAGCAAAGGAGTGTCTAGACAACACTGACGTTATAACTGCATGTGTTTCCTGATTCACGAGGATCTATTTGTACGTGCAGCTTTGTTTATTCAGGAAGTAGAGGCCACATTGTGTATTGGAGTCGTTGTAGAGCTGCTGGGGTGTCATTGGATCGGGTGCAGATAAGGTTGCTTTCTGGGGTACTATGTCTGGGGCTGCTGCACATCGCAGGCAGTACTGCAGAATGAGGGCTGTGCCTCCCAGTGTGGGAGAAACCAATTTGGCCTTGGGGCTTCCTGAAGGAGGAGGCTTTCAGTGGTGCCAGAAGACTGGCTGTTAAGAAACGAAGGTGGCTCAGTGGTAGAGTGCTTGCCTCGCATGCATGGAGCCCTGGGTTCAATGCCACCTACACAGAAAAATCTGGAAGTGGTGCTGTGGTTCAAGTGGTTTGAGTGCTAGTGCTAGTCTTGAGCAAAAGAAGCTCAGGAACAGCACCCAGGCCCCGAGTTCAAGCCCCAGCATTGGCAAAAAGAAAATAAAAAGCAGCAGAAAGTGTGTGGATGGAGGAGAACCTTTCTTGGCTTGGTGAGGAAATGGGATCAGTTAGCAATACTTCGTGCTCCATTTGTCCAGGAAAAACCCACTGGGGCACCCAGCCTGCTCAGAAAATACTTTAAATGTTGCTTTAAATAAAAACTCACCAGCTGGCATTAATACTCCCCGAGACTTTCCTGGTCCTTTTGTAGCTCTAACTTGGCAGAAACCTCTCTGTTCTCTTCTTATTTATTAAGCCCCTGATGTTGTCTTCTCTTTGATTTGTTTTTACTTCTTTCTCTCCTTAATTTTATTTACTTGTTTTTTTGTTTTTGTTTTGCTAGTCTTGGAGCTTGAACTCAGGACCTGGGCACTGTCCCTAAGCTCGTTTGCTCAAGGCTAGCACTCTACCACTTGAGCTATACTTCCAGCTTTTTTTTTTTTCAAAAGTGGTTAATTGGAAATAAGAGTCACATAGACTTTCCTGCCCAGGCTGGCTTTGAACCATGATCCTCAGATGTCAGCCTCCTGAGTAGCTAGGATGACAGGCATGAGCCACCCGTACCCAGCATCCTTTCCTTCATTTTAGGACAATACTAGCTGTGAGTGCAGATCCTGAACCGCAGCAGCCTCTGTGTCCCTCCACTGTCCAATAAAACTGATCGAAGGCAGAGCTAGGGTTGGGGCTGGGCTTCAAGGGGTTCACCGGGGCCTGAAGTAACCCATTTCTCTTTCCCTGACTCCTGAATTCTTTTTCTTTTCCTAGGTGTAAAGTGGATATCTCTGCCCTCCCGTTGAAACAGGGCAACTGCTTGGAACTACCCTTAGACAGCTGCCCGGGGTCTCTCCTTATGTTGATCACACTTACGCCCTGTGTGGGGGTCTCCATCTCAGATCTGTGTGTCTGCCCCTTAGAAGACCCCAGTGAGCGGAAGCAGATTTGCCAGCGCTATGTGAGTGCTTTGTGACATCATTTACGCTCCTGTCCCCCGCCCCTCCCTGCACCACGTCTGTTCCCTGAAAAACTGCATCCAGGGAGATCTTTGTCCCAAGTTTAATTGTGCGTCTCATAAAACAAGATGTCAGACCGCGCTAGGGGTTAATGCATTAGTTTGAAGGTGAAAGGAATATGCCTAGGCTATTTAAAGAGAAGAAAAAAAATACTGTGTAGTATCGCTTTTAGGAAGTTTTTAGCTTTTAGGAAGATCAGTGACATCTTCACGGCATCCACTCCTGCATGTAGAAAGAGGAATTTTAATAGAAGCTAAACAAAAGTAACTTCTTTGACTCTTTAATGTCTACATTGCTCTGCGTACAGAGGGGGGTGCACGGGTCTTAGCTGAGTTGGAGGGAGGCATGCAGTACAATGGATGTTGTTTGTTACTTCTGTTCCCAGGGGGGTGGGCACTGAGTGATGGGTGATTTTTTTTCTTTTCCCCTATGCTATGTCCTGGACCACAAACCACTCCTCAGTGGTAGAGCAAAAGGCCTTGCCCTCTCTGTTTGTTTATACTAGTTTTCTGGCTTTTCTAGGTGCCTTTTTTTTTTTTTTTGCATTCTGGGTTTTTTTCTTTTCTTGTCTCCTGTGCAAATCGATACGTGTCTGCCATCCCTGCAAAACATGTTATAAGCAAGCTACAGGAGAGAAACAAAGATGGATCCCTGTTCAATGGCTGTATCTTTCCGCGCTTCCCAGAGCCGTGGCGTATTGATCAGTTGAATAATTCTCTGTCTTGAAGGGTGCAAATCCTAGCTCCATGTCTCATTTTCAGCCCAGAATCTACATGTCAGGTTGACGTAGTGTGGAGTTTGGACAGAATTTACTATTGACATTCTCTCTGATGACTCATTTCCTTAACTAGGAAACGAAAGTTTGAAGGTGAAAATGGAAACTTACCCCCTCCTCCCGCCAGCTTTCCCACGGATAAGTAGAGAAATGGATGAAATCCATGAGACTTGTTTTGTATTTATAAAGTAACAGTAGTCATGGTAGTCATGAATAATGCCTCAGGGTATGAGGAGTGATCTTTGTAAATGGTTTGAAACACAAAGTGGGTTTGTACACACACACACACACAAAATCAGGGCCTGAATGTTGTCACACACACACACAAAATCAGGGCCTGAATGTTGTCACACACACACACACAAAATCAGGGCCTGAATGTTGTCACACACACACAAATCAGGGCCTGAATGTTGTCGCTGAGCTTTTGTGCTCAAGGCTAACAACTACCATGGGAGCTACAGCTCCATTTCCAGTTTCTTTGGGTACTCCTCCTCTGGCTGGCTAGGGGGATAGGCACAAGCCCCTGGTGCTCAGCAGTTACTGTTTGTTTAGGACATTCTTGACCAGCATGTTCCCTTAAGGACCCTGGATTAGGTTGTTAGCTAGGTTGTAAGAATAGATGATATGTTGTGTGTGTGTACACCCCTACCAGGCTTTGAACTCAGAGTCTTATACTTCCACAAGGCTTTTGTGTTCATGGCCATTTTAGTCACACTTCTATTCTGCATCTTGCTGGTTCTTTGGGGGGATGGAGTCTCATGGACTTCTGTGTCTTTCCTGCCTCCTGCATACCTAGGCTTACAGTCATGAGCAATTGGTGCCCAGCAATAATCAATACTCTTTCTAAGACATTTATCTCTAAAGTATTAAATCATTTTGTTCTAGTCCTTTCATGTTAGCTTAGAAATTACATAATTGATTCATTTATACTGAACATACGAAGGAGAAACAATGTTGGAAAGTTCTTAGGGCTGGGTGCCTGTGGTTAACACATGTAATCCCATCTACTCAGGAGTCTGAGATCTGAGGATCCAGGTTCAGAGCCATTAACCACCAAAAAGCTGGAAGTAGAGCTGTGGCTCAAGTGGTAGAACACCCTAGCCTTGAACAAACAACCTCAAGGACAGCACCCAGGCCCTGAGTTCATTTCCCAGGAGTGACACACACACACACACACACACACACACACACACACACACACACACACACACACACACACACACACAGATGATACATGAATGCTAAAATGTCTAAAGACTCGGCTAAAACCAACATTAAAAAACAAATTCACTACTTGTAACCCTCAACTCTTTCCATGGGTAATCTCTACGTCGGGCCTCTGTTTAGTCCTCTGGTCTCCATAAAGTTGATCCTAACTAGATCAGAATAATGTTGCCTTTGAGGCAACATTTAAAAGTTGAATTAAAGAGAAAAAGAAGGGAACGAATGTAATTCTACCCACACATTTTCCCGGTGGGGTATCTCAGCTAACACCAGGGGGCGATGTGAAAAGCAGATTGCAGGCGCTTCTAATTTGTTTATTTTGAGGTTGCAGTTAATTAATTCTCAGTCAGTTTGCTTTTTTAATCTGGCTGCTAGAAAATGTCGACGTGTCCTGTTGGCTGGCCTAATGTGTGTGTGTGTGTGTGTGTGTGTGTGTGTGTATGTATGTATGTAGGTGTGTGTATGCACATATATATACATTATATATATATATATATATATATATATATATATATATATATGCAGATTCCATACATACGTGGCTAGGAATTTCACAAGGAAGGGAAGGCAAACCTACACTGTCCTTCCTGTGGGATTTGCGGGTGTTTGTGGTATCTTAGGGCGCTGTCCTCAACCTGTGGCTTTCCTCTCCCGCAGGCTTTGCAGAATTCCCTGAAGGACACGAAGGATGTTGGCATTTTGCAGGTGAAGGTTCTAAAAGCTGTGGACCTCCTAGCGGCAGACTTTTCAGGTACAGAACAACAGCAGCAGAATCCACAACTTCCCAGCGTCGAGAAAAGGAAAGGGAACGGGAAGCAGATTCAAAGATAATGCTTTGGGTCAAGTTGGAAGAGAATACATTTTTAAGGATTGTGGCTGAACCCCCTGGAAAAATGATCGTTTAATATTCATTAATGCATTGCACCTGCTGTGGACATTTTTTCCTAATTCCCCTCTCTTTGTAGTTGCGTCTTCTGAAGATATTAGCTGTTTTCACGAGGGCCTTTGACACTTAAGGCAACTATTTTCCCATGTGCCTTTGACATTTGTGGGTTTCACACACATATTTAGGGTTATCTGGTAACTTTCAAGAATGAACTGTTTTGTCTTCTAAGTGCTTTGGTACAGCTTTGTGATGAATCTATATCGTTACTGCCTCAGGAAATGTTTTAAGGCCTCTAAGAGAACTTCCTTATTACGCCTTGAGCAGTATTTGTAAGAAAAGAAAAAACAAAACAAACCCCCAAAACCTTCTTCTGTAGTTGGAGATTTTTGATCTGAAGGAACTAGCAGTAATGTATTCAAAGTAGTTTTTAAAGCTTTATTTACAACAATATCCACATGTGGGTTATAACCTAATTTATTTTACCCATGGTATCAGTATTGATGTACATCAGTTATTTATGGCTAATGTATCATCTTCAAATAGGTCTTTGACAGCCAAATGGTAGAGGAATTTGAAACAAACAAAACCAAAAATAACCAAATAAGAAATAATGAAAACCAACCAAACAACCAACAAAAAGTCTTAGCAAAATCCATAGTATTCGGCAAACCTTGTTTATGGGGGAATGGGTAGGGGGGAGAATGGTTGTTTTGTTTTCATTCAATGTATTCACAAGAACATTTTGGAGTGAAAAATCAAAGGGTTCAAATATGGAAAAAAAGGAAAGAACTGCTTAAAAATGAAATAAAACTGTGTAGTTTGACTAAGCGACCTTGTATTTTACTATCTCTGGATTATTTATGAGAAAATTAATGAGTCTTCTGATTTGCTAAATATGTCTTTATTCCAGAAGTACTTTTGGGTTTCAGAATCCAGTTTCACCTGCTATGTTTCTTATAAGCATCAAGCTTCTGTGTGAATTTTCTAATGAGCTCTCGTCTAGAAAGGCCTAATCCACACAGTCGTAATCTAACTTTTGGTGGTTGCTGTGCTGGAGTCAGGGTCTCTGTTTGTCTGTCTGTCTGTGTCTTTCTCTTTGTATGTGCCAGTAGAGAGGGACTTAAACAAGTTTGACTCTATCACTTGAGCCGTACCTCCCACCTCTGGCATTTTTGGTGACTAATTGGAGATAAGCATCTCAAAGACTTTCCTGCTCAGGTTGGCCTCAAACCGTGATTCTCAGATCTCAGTCACTTGACTAGCTAGGGCTATAGCTGTAAGCCATGGGCCCTGGCTGAGACAGGGTTCTCTATTGCTCAGGCTGACCTCAAACTGGTACAATCCTTCTGCTTCAGTCTTCCAGCTGCTGGTGTAACAACCGGTGCCATCATGTCCACCATAATGGGGAGAAAAAGAAATGTGGGTGGAAAAGAGAAGTCATATGAAAAGGAGGTGGCAGTATGGATATAGTGAATACTTCTAAGTGGCCAGCAGCCATGACATACAGTAGGAACTCAAGTCTGCTTGCCATGATCCTTAGTGTTATCCATTGCTTTGGTCTGCAGTACAATGAAAAACCAACCAAAGCCTTTGCTCCCTGGAGGATCAGAAGAGATACAATTGACAGTGCCAGGAACATTTGAGAAATAAGTAACTGCTTACACTTGATGGCAGAGGTGGAGGGCAATCTGTGTCTTCCATGTAGATGAGAAATTTCACCCACGCGAGGACCAGAAAGGGTTGTGCCACTAGGAGGTGCTCTTGGCACGTTTAAAATGCAGGCTCAAGCCCTTCTGGCTTCTGGCTTCCCATTCATTCTGCAATTGCATGAATCCATGCGTCTGATGGACCAGGATGGAGAGAGGATCCCACACAAGGACTTCTTAGTTCTTTCAAACTGCCCTTGGCTCCCTGACATCTTCATAAGTATTTTGAGGGTTAAAACTTTAGGTAAACAGGACTAACATACCCATCAAATGATGCTTTCCTCATTCTTTTTTTTTTTGTTGTTGTTGTTTTTGGGTCTGGTCGTGGGGCCTGAACTCTGCGCCTGGGCACTGTCCCTCAGCTCTTCAGCTCAAGGCTAGCACTCTACCACTTGAGCCACAGCACCACTTCCGGCTTTTTTCCCCCTGCTTATATGGTGCTGAGGAATCGAACTTAGTACCTCATGTATGCAAGGCAAGCGCTCTACCACTGAGCCACCTTCCCAGCCCTCCTTCATTCTTTATTACATTTATTTTAGCGGAGTCTAGTGGGAGAGATGTGAAATTTCCAAGGATTTCTTTTTGCTGAATTATTGTGTATCATCTCCTTAATTTTCGGGAATACAAGCATCGCTCCCCTCTTTAGCTCTCCAATCACTATTTTTTTTGGCTTTATCATTGTTACTTTAAGTAGTTTTACAAAGGGGTTTTAATTCTACAAGTCAGATTGTGAGCACAATGCATCTTGACCAATGTTACCCCTCCTCTCGTCCCCCCTTCTTTTTAGTCCTATCTCTACCTTCAAGTTACGTAGTTCAATTTTCACATGGCTTTAAAATCTACAGTTGCCGCTCATAAATACTTTGCTGTTTTTTTTAAAATTCTATTTCTCTCTCCTGCTAAAAATGAAAAAAAAAGCTTTGTGTTAGGGGAATTATCATGCTAAACTAGTTTAATCCTTGTACTTTTTCTATTTTTGGCAATCTGGACTGCAGTCTTATGAATATAAAATAGTTTTGTGAGCTCATCAACTCTTATACATAAAAATGCTGTTCTTTGAAACTGGTGACCAAAACATGATAATCTCAGTGCACTGAAACCCCCCCAAAATACACGGCAGAATTTTTTTTTTCTGCTTAGAGTCTAAGACTGACTTTTGAGTTACCTCTGTGAAAGATTATCAGTAGCATCGAGCTGTTTGGTAATTTTGTTTTGAGGCGTTAAGTCTGTTTGTGTCAGGAAAGAATTACCTTGTGGTTATTGTTCGCTCGTAATTTTAGGCCGCATGCCCATTTTCTGGTTGATTTTCATTGTCTGTTTCTGAAAGTCCTACCTGTAGAGATACATCTTCTCTTAAAGACGCCATATTTTCTAGGGGGAAAAACATGGCCTGGGAGAGAATGCGGTGCTGCTGATAGAATGCTCTTAATTTTCCTGAGAACCTTCTAGACAGCTGAACCCAAATCAAGAACTTGTGAAAACCTATATAAATCCACATTGGCAAGCCATCTGTTTTAACTGTCAGCCACAGAACAGGGACCCTGGTCTGTGTAAAGTTGGGGTGGGGTGGGAGGGGAGGATGTAAAAGATTGAACAGTTTCAAGTTTATGGTGTCGTGAGGAGAGGGAATGAAGTCGGTTCATTTGTGGCCTTCCGCAAATTAGCGTGAATCCCTTTGATCTTAGTGGCCGATTCTTCGTTTTATCCCAGTGTATTTCAGCATGTATTTCTTCTGTGATGGGCTCTGGTGACGTCGTAGCAGAAAAAAGCTGGGTCTTTGACGTCACGCCTGTGGACTGAATAACGACTGAGCGGTGACTCTCTAAACGTAATGATATTCATCAGGTCAGGGTCCTGGGGTGGGGACTCTCAGCCGACGGTGCCTGACTGGTTGAATTGCAAGTGAAGTTTGAGCGGATAGCTCAAGGCTGAGAGGGCGTTGGCACAGTGGAGAGCAGGGAACAGGGGAACAGAATGTTCCAAGCTAGCCTGCAATTTACCACCCAAAAGGTGGACGCGGGGATGTGGCTCAAATGATAGAATGGAGCCCAGCCTTGAGCAAGAACCCCCCCCCCAAAAAAAACAACAACAAAAAGCTAAGGAATAGCACGAGGCCCTAAGTTCAAGCCCCATTGTAGCCCACAAACATGCGCGCACGCGTGCGCACACACACACACACACACACCACACACACACACACACACCACACCACACACACACACACACACACACACACACACACACACGCTTGCTGCTCAAATGTGTTTATTCAAGTGTTGAAAAATATTAAAACAAGGTCCTGAAACTCTTGTATCATGAGAATGGTTCACCAACGGCACAGCTACGTCAAGGTGATTTGTATCATCTTGAATACAGGAGGTCATTTGGGTATCTGACAACAAAATAGGCAAAAAGAACACCCCCCTACTCAAATCTCTGGGTACCCATCCACCTAGCACTCATGTCTCAGCATACGGGTGAGGAACAGTTGGTTGTTTTGATTTATTAGGGGAGCCCGTGACTCCCCAATACAAAGATTCATCCCTTCAATCTTACTCAGAGCCTATCCCTCCCCCCCCAACCTTTCAAGAGAAAGGAATCAATCTATAAAGCGTCCATAAATTACTCCGTAAGTGTTTGCATGTCTTTCTTTTCTTCTTGCCGTCTCCCCGCCGGTGTATGCCGTAATCTTAATAAAGGCAGCATTTTAATGAGCTTTGACGGAATTATCTCGGAGGGTCAGTGCGGCGGGTTCCTGGGGGGGCTGGTGACTGAAGTTTGCGGCGGGGGCTGGGGGCCTCATTAGTTAGGACGGCGAAGCACCGCTTGCTCAGGAGAGCCAGAGCCGCAGCAGGTGCCCACCTGTGCCTCCGCCCCGCCGGGCTGGGTCTGCCCTTCCTGCAGTCACCCCGGGCCTTCATTAAAAGTGCCAGGCGGTGTCTCCAGAGCCAGGGCTGATGGCGTGTCATGTTGGGGTCTCTGGAGGCGCCGTGTTGACACCTACTAATAGTCTGACACACGGTTAAGTAGCTGTCAAAGCCCAGGTGGCGGAATGGGGGCTGTCATACCTGAGCGGAGCCAGGAGCCAGTGTGCTCTTCACTTTCTCCGTGGGTGAGGAGACCGTGGCGTCTGGCTTTCCTTTGCTCTGCTTTCCCCCCTGCATCCAACCCAGCCCCTTGCTGCACAGAATGCACGGCCGCAGGCCCCGTCTTGGAAGGACCGCGACTCTCTGTGCACGATGGTGGATTTGTGTGCCCCTGTGTCTGCACTCTCCACTGTTTAAAAGGCTTGGTAGGGGGCTGGGAAGGTGGCTCAGTGGAAGAGTGCTTGCCTTGCAAAGCATGAGGCCCTGGGTTCGATTCCTTAGCATCACATAAACAGAAAAAGCTGGAAGTGGTGCTGTGGTTCAAGTGATAGAGCTCTCGCCTTGAACTGAAGAGCTGAGGGACCGTGCCCAGGCCCCAGAGTTCAGGCCCCACGACCACCACCACCAACAAAAGCTTTGTGTGTTTTGGATAGTTAGGAAAAGCGATCAAGGCTACTCTGGTTACAGGTGCAAAAAAAAATCTCTTTCTGAGTTCCTACCAGGTGGGGGTATAGGTAGTTGGCTAGGTGAGATACCATAGACTAACAAATCTGCCTAGAAGTCGGAGAGCAGAATTCATACTGCAAGTGGGTATAGTCAGATAGGTGGAGGGGTGTGATATTTGGAGAAACAGTGGGTTGCATTAGACTTTCCTTAGGTTGGAATATTGGCCGAGTTTCTTGTTTCTTCTAGTAGATAATCTATCATTCATTCATTAGTTTGGTGTGTGTGTGTGTGTGTGTGTGTGCGCGCGCACGCGTGTGCATGCATGCATGCATGCACGTGTATGCCAGTACTGGGGCTTGAACTCAGGGCCTGGTCACTGTACCTTAGCGTTTTTTTTGCTCCAGGTTGGTGCTCTTCCACTTGAACTACAGCACCACTTCTGGCTTGTGCATGGGCCTTCCTGCCTGGGCTGGCTTTGAACCATGATCTTCAGATCTCAGCTTCCTGAGTAGGTAGGATTACTGGCATGTGTCACCGGCGCCTAGCTGAGTGTAAAGTTTTTTGAGCCTGACTTCTTTTTTTGCAGAGATTCCGAGAGCTAGATGACATTATTTCCATCAATTTATTTTCTGCAAAAATTTTGACAAGGATCCTGCCTTTTTATTTATTTTTCGTCAGGATCGAGAAGTCTAACTGGTGTATTTATGCCCGTGGCTTGATTGTTGTATAGTGCTGAAGAATGGCACTGATGTAAAAGCCTGAGCTAGTCATCTGAGCGGGACAGCCACGAGTCAGGAGAGGAATCTCCTGTTTAACACTGACTCTCACCCACAGTCTGCTCTTTGACATTAAAAAGAAACAAAATACAAGCTCCTGGAAGGCTCTCAGAATGTACAATACCTCAACACTCTTGGTTATTAGGAGGATTAAATGTAGCTTCGGTGCTCAGAACCGTGGGTCAGAGGTCAAGAGGTCTGGGTTCCCTGGACATTAGGCCCTGGCCTAGGACTTCAGGGAGCATTTGTTGAAGAAGCACATCTCTTTATGTCCCCCAATTAATTTAGCACACAGCGCTTTACAAAGCACCCGTGTACCCTAGGGGCAGGTGGTCAGTTCACGTCCGATGGCCATTATGGAATGATAGAAGCTTTTTCCTGGCCATTCCAATTCTAGGTCCCTCTGCTAACTGTAACACGGGACAATTTTTACTTGGTAATTTCTGAGATCTAACTTGGTTAGTGGGTCTCTCTCTCTCTCTCTGTGTGTGTGTGTGTGTGTGTGTGTGTGTGTGCCCGTTCGTTCTTTGGAGCATATGGGAAATAAAGTTGGAGAAGAAGCAAGGGAGGAACATCATTTTTTAATGTTAATTGACTGGTCTGTCCAAGTGTGCATGGTCTTCAAGAGCGGCCCGTGTGACCTTCTAATGTACTGAGTATGTAAGATTGCACATCCCTGTGGCCACTCACATCCGACAGAGCTTTAATTCCAGAAGCGGTATTCCTGTGCTATTCCACACCTGAACATGGAATCCTATACGTTTCCACAGACTTCCAATTGGAGAAGTGTATGCCTATGAACCTAAAGAGAATCTAAGCAGAAAGTAGAGATGACTTTCAGAGTGCCTTTGTTTGTTTGTTTGCTGGTCCTGGGCTTGAGCTCTGGGCCTGAGCACTGTCCCTGAGCCTTGTGCTCAAGGCCCACTTGTGGCTTTTTGTTATTAAAGGAAGATAAGAGTTTCACAGACTTTCTGGCCAGGTCTGGCTTTGAACCAGGATCCTCAGGTCTCACTCTCCTTATTAGCTAGGAATTGGGGTGTGAGCCATTGGCACCAGGCATTGGAAAACCGTTTTTAATGACTACATCCTGTTGGAATGTTCTATAAGCTTATGCATTGTGTAATGATTAAGTCAGGGTATTTCGCGATCTGTCAGTTTTACAACTGTATGGTTTCTTTGTAGGTAGAACATTCAAAATAATTTCTTCAAGCCATTTTGAATGAGCCAAGACAATCTTTCTAAGGACAGCCAAGCTGTCATGAAGTAGAACGCAAGAACTTTTTCCTCCTGCCTCACTGTGATTTTGTATGCGTAGGCCAGACATTCTCAGTCCTTACTTTCCTTCGCTCTATGCTCTCCTGTAATCACTGTCCTGTTGACGTCCACGGGAACAGCTCTTTGGATTTTATATATTCGGGTGACATCATGTTATTTGTTCTTCTGTGAGTCCTCCAGACTCATCCACGTTATGAAAAATGCACAAGTGCCAATCTTTTTTCCTGGCTGAATAGTAGACCAAGGTATAGGTGAACCTCATTTTCTTTGTCCTTCCATAAATTGATGAGCACATAGGTCGCATCCTTTTTTAAATGTTAATTTTGTGCCTCTGGGGGGTCAGTGCTACAATAATCATGCGAAAGTGAGACTATCTTTCAACATACTGATCTTTTCCTTTGGTTGCATACTTGACAGTGGTCTAGCTGGATTCCACAATCATCTCAGTGGTAATTTTTTTCTACGATGGTATTCATTTGCATTCCTTCCAGAAATGTTTATAATCATCTCCACCTCCATTTCCACACCAACATTTGTGAATTTTTTTTGCCTTTTTGAGGGGGAAGGGGAGGTGGTACTGGGTTTGAACTCAAGGCCTCAAAGTCTTGCTCAGCTTGATTTTTTTTTTTCTGTTCAAGGCTGGTGCTCTACCACTTGAGCCATACCTCCACTTCCAGCTTTCTGCTTGTGAACTGGAGATAAGAGTCCCATGGATTATTTTTTTCCTGCCATGAGTCACTGGTGGGTGATGAACTTTTTGCCTTTTTGATAATAGCCATTCTGCTTTGTACTTGGTTTGCATTGTCCTGATGATATGTGATGCTGGTGACCTCTCTCATGAGACCTGGTGCTCACCTTGCTTTTAGAGTTACCTCTCAGGCTAGGTATCAGTCTGGGATCTAGGTATCAGTCTGGGATCCTTTAAGATGCTCCTTCCTGGTTGGGTGTTTATAGCTCCAGAATCCCTCACTGGCCCTCCACAGAGCTTGTGGGGAAAGGAACCTCACTTCCGTCGTTCTGCAAACACAAGTTCATTGTGGGAAAAGCGAATGGCCGCCTTTCACTTTGCTTGTGTCCTTTGGGAGGTCCATTTGTCTTTGAGCCAGTGTTCTCTGTCAATGTCTTCTTCGTTCTCTTTCTAGGAAAGAGCGATCCTTTCTGCTTGCTGGAGTTGGGTAATGATCGACTGCAGACACATACCATTTACAAGAACCTCAACCCGGAGTGGAACAAAGTCTTTACCTTGTAAGTGCCTTGGCCTCTGCTATTTGCAGGAGCAGCTTTATTTATTTATATTTTGTCTTTCAGTGGTTGTACGAAGGAGGTGCCATATAAGAAAGCAGTTTAGGAACACAGTGCATCTTCCTCGGTGCCAACCCTTCAACATTCCCGCCCTCCTTTGACCCATCTTTCCCTTACTATTTTCTTTCTTTTTCTGTGTTTTCTTTTGGCCTTTCCTTTTTTTTTTTTTTTTTGGTACTAGGTATCGAACCCAGGACATTGCAGATGCTAGGCAAATGCCCCTTACTTTTCTTCATTTTGTGGTCTATACAATGAATTCTTTTTTCTTTTTGCCAGTCCTGGAGCTTGAATTCTGGGCCTGGGCACTGTCCCAGAGCTTCTTTTGCTCAAGGCTAGTGCTCTACCATAGAAGCCGCAGTGATACTTCCAGTTTTTTTTTTTTTTTTGAGTAGTTTCTTAATGATAAAGAGTTCCATGGACTTTCTTGCCTGAGCTGGTTTCGAACCATGACCCTCAGATATCTCAGCCTCCTGAGTAGCTTGGATTACAGGTGTGAGCCATCAGTATCTGGCTTTTATAGTTAATTCTTGACTTCATTTTCCCCCTTCCCCTCTTCATTTGTCTACCTCTCTCCCATTGGTCCCATTCCCTCCCCTTCTTGCACGTACCCATTTCCTCGTGTTGATTTTGTTGGGCTCTGACCTAATCTTTCTAAAAGGTTATACTATTTGAGCTCTCTGTAGGGTCTGCTTTACGTCATTTAATTCATTTGTACTCACTTGCATGCTGCCCATTATTTATAGATTTATAGGCATATCCTATCCACCACAAACAAGGGAAAGCATGCAGCCCTTGTTGCTCTGTGTCTGGCTTACTTAATATAATTTTTTCCAAGTCTCTCCTTTTCCTTATGAATGGTACAACATTATTCTTTCTAATAGATAAGTAAAGTTCCATTGTGTGTGTATATTACATTTTCTCAATGTATTTGTCCATTGAAAAGGGCATCTGGGCAGATTCCATTTAATGTGTGGGGTAGGCTGGGGTCCTTAAGTGGAATGAAACTGCTAAATTTTTATGTACAGAGAGGCACTTTTATTATTATTTTTCCTTCCACAAAACTCTCATCTTTTTGTCATATAGAGTATGATGTTGATAATAAAAAAACTATTTGGAACTGCAGTGGCACGTTAGAAGAGTAGTTTTGTAAAGTTGTTCACTTAGGGATCACTAAGTTAACCTGTGAGTAGATGGAAACTCATCTATCTAGACTAATTCATTTCTGAGTTAATGAAAAGTTACAAATGGAGACCTATCCTAAATTCAGGGAGCTTAGATGTTATGATAATACTTCAATGGGCAAAGCGCTATATTCTGCTACTGCTGCCATTGTTGGGAAAATACAGGTTATCTGTGAACCCTTAGACTCCTCATGGCTTCCTCTATTCTCACTTATCCCGGTGACCTTTTCCTTATAGCCGGGCCCCTTGTACTCCATCAAACTAGGCCATGTAGGAGACTTAGATGGATTCAAGTTTCAGAGATTTCATTAGCTTGCAAGGCCCTTGACTATCAAGGGAGGGCTGTTGGATTTGGCGAGTTGATGCTACCGTCAGGTCCCCCCTTCCCCCAAAAGCTGGGTAAAATGCTCAGGCTGTGCCAACAAATTTAAGTTTGTTTCAAATGTGGTTGATTGTATTCGTAGTGTTTCCCAAGGGCATGGGAGAAGGGAATCTGTGTTGTTAACCGAGGTCTACCAGATGCCTGGTGTAAGAGTTTCCTGTTTTCTGAGTGTATTGCCAGTGGTCCGTGACTCCAGTGTTCATTCCCACTGGGGGTCTGGCTTCTGGTCAATGTAAAGAAAAAATTATTCTTAAATATGCATGGTGGGGTGTTTTGTATTTCCACCATGGGAGATTAAAAAAAAGGATGTCAGCACAGAGTGAGTTTTACCACTTTGCCTTTTCAAATGAGAATCCTTCATTAATTGAAAGAAATGGGGTCTTTTCGCTTTTCTTTGACATCGCTTTCTCTTTTACCTCCTTGTTCTTTTTTTTAAAAACATCTCTCCTTTTCATTCTTAATTCCTGTTTCTTTAACAATCTCAGCCATGATTGCATGCCCATTAGAAAATGTCACAGTAAAAAGTTGCCTCCTTTTTTTTTTTTTTCCAATGGATGTCTGAATTGTGTATGATGGAAGGTTTGGGAATACAGTCAGTTTGATTTAATTTTTGGAATTTAATTAAATGGTAGTTTTATACTCAGAGGACACACAGGCTTAATTAGCGAATCTGTGTTTTTAGACCTTCATGGAACAGACTTCACGTGTGTGTGTGTGTGTGTGTGTGTATGTGTGTGTGTGTTTGTGTGTAACACTTGATATTTCTTATTTCAGTCCAATTAAAGATATCCATGATGTTCTGGAAGTGACAGTGCTTGATGAAGATGGAGATAAGCCCCCTGATTTTCTTGGAAAAGTTGCCATTCCTTTGTTATCTGTAAGTTCTCTCTGTTGATCAACCATTCGTGACTCATTTTAGAGCCAACCAGTTTTGCAGGTCTAGAGTTGCTTTATCTTTCTCAGTGTGTGTGTGAGGGGGTGGGGGGAATTCCTGCTAGCTGTTTTCAGAAACTCCTGTTTATTTCTCTCCTTTTATTTCAGATGTAAGCAGACATACTCTTTTCTGTGTTTGCCTAGTACTGACTTAGCCAATCCAAACATTTTGACCAGTCTTTCAATTCACTCTTTCATTCCTTTCTATTGGATTTCAAGGAATTCTCTCTCTCTCTCTCTCCATATCTTAAGGCCAAACACACATGTATTTTAAAACACATTTTTAAAAATGATGAGTTGCTGGTGAACACACATTTGTTCTTCGTTCAGCTACCCCAAAGTTTCATTTATCTTTTGGATAGTGATTTTATTTTCAAACTCACAAGATACTTCGTGTGGAAGAAAGTACAGGGGTCTCACTTGGAGAAGGAAGAGTATTTACTGTGTTCAGTGAGGGGGAAGCCAAGAGGAAGAACTGAATGAAAAAAAATACTTATCAAGTGCCTCAGGGAAAGCATTCGCCATCTCCTTTCTAGGAGTAAAGGGGAGAGGTGGGGACTGAGTTTATTATTTAATTGGACACTAAAAGTATGTGGCTTGAACTCTTCTAAAGGAGTGAATTTCAGCTTCTCATCCAGCCATTAAACACAATTTGTCGTAGAGTTGTTATGCCTTCATCAGCCAGTAAGACTTTATTTCTTCCCCAAGACTTATTCCCCCCTCCCCTCCCCCAAAGCTATTTGCGTATTTTCATGGATGGAGCTCTTTGTAATTTAACCACGGGATGGATCTAGCTCCGGCACTGTTTACGGAAGAGGGGGCTGAGTGGTACCTCTTAATATCTCTTCGCCGGCTTTTGATCGCTTGGTTAATTTCTCCCCAAGTTCTCATATCCCTGATGTTACCCCACTAGCCTGCCTGGAGCATCTGTCCCCTTGTACCACCCGCTCCTGCCAAATGCTCTGAGCCTCTGGTGCTGGGCTCCAGGACTCAGAGAGAAGACATGGTAATTTGGGGTTTCCTCCCCCCACCTTTTTTTTATTATTACATACGCTGTCAGTTATTCCTGGAAGAACACATGTAACCAGAATATGGGGTTCACTTTTATAGAGGTCTAAAGGAGCAAAAGCATTCTTTTACAATTATTTCCTCCTCCTCCTCCTCTTCCTCTTCTTCCTCTTCCTCTTCTTCCTCCTCCTCCCTCCTCTTCCACTTATTTCTCCTTCTCTTCCTCTTCTTCCTCTTCCTCCTCCTCTTCCTCCTCCGCTTCCTCCTCCTCCTCCTCCTCATCCTCTTCCTCTTCTTCCTCCTCCTCTTCCTCCTCTTTCTCTTCTTCTTCCTCCTCCTCCTCCTCTCTCTCTTTGACATTTATTTCTCCATGCACTTTTGTAGACAGGTCAATATTTATACAACATTTTCTTGCTAGGTGAATATAATTCTTTGAATTAACTATATATGTAAAACAGGAAAAGCATTGTGATTCCCAAATAACCAAGAAAACAGTCATCAATATTTTATGAGACCCTGCATCATCTTTTTTTTTTTTTGGTGGCAGTTCTGGGGTTTTGAACTCAAGGCTTGAACTCTTCTAAAGGAGTGAATTTCAGCTTCTCATCCAGCCATTAAACACAATTTGTCGTAGAGTTGTTTTGCCTTCATCAGCCAGTAAGACTTTATTTCTTCCCCAAGACTTATTCCCCCCTCCCCTCCCCCAAAGCTCAAGGATGATGTTCTTTTTTGGGGGTGGTTAATTGGAGATAAGAATCTCATGGACTTTTTTCTTTTTGGCTAGGGCTGACTTTGAACTCAGCTACCTGAGTAGTTGCATCTTGAAACAATAACATAGAGTCCTCTGCACATACTCTGCCCCACAGAAGCTCAGAGTTCTCAGTGAACAGTGCACACACCTCTTGTCCTTCACCAGTAGTGGCTTCACTTAATTAACTTCATGGGGCGAATTTTCTAAAACAGTTTGCTCACAGTAAGTGTGGCACAAATCCTTATTTGCATTTCCAATGGGGCATTCAGCCACACGGGCTCACCTGTGCGGAGTTTTCTTTTTTTTATTTTAATTTTTTGTCAGTTGTGGGGCCTGAACTCAGGGCCTGGGCGCTGCCCCTCAGCTCTTCAGCTCAAGGCTGGCGCTCTACCACTTCAGCTATAGCACCCCTTGTGTTTTTTTTTCTGTTTATGTGATGCTGAAGAATCGAACCCAGGGCCTCATGCATGCAAGGCAAGCATTCTACCATGGAGCCACCTTCCCAGCCCACCTGTGTGGAGATTTTCCCCTACATGATCATGATTCACAGCGTGATACGTGGTTTTTAGATGGTTGCAACAAAATTTTTGCCATTGAGGTAGATAATGCAATGTGAAGGGCAAACATTCTGTTACCACAGTTAGTTATCCAGGAGATAGTTGATCAGGGAATTCTTTATGTGAATGAGCTTGAAGCCACGGTGGAGGCCAGGTACAAAGGGAGACCCATGTGATCATGTACTTATAACCACAATAAATAGATTCATTGGCTTGGATTGTTTTAATTCTAAGTGTACACCTATCTCTTGGTCAACTACCCGCTTTGATACATATACTTCTTTCAGTATGGATGTCAAATATGCAAAGGATTAAAAATGTCACAGAGAAAATCATCAACTTTGTACAATTACTATATACCAATAAATGTAGAGAGAAAATAGTCTCAACCTGGATCTCAGTGCGGGGCAGAAAATGGTCATTTTTCCACACAGACAATCCACATTCCTCATCTCCTACTCATGGTCCAACACATCCACTGAAAGAAATAAAAGATGATCAGTAAAATTTTCCATCTGCTCTAGAACCTGAGAAAGAATACCTTAAACATGTTGGAGGTGTCAGGACCCTACTCAGGACGTGGAATGGGTCTCTGTGGCTCTCCTTCTCCTACCGAGCTGGGATTATAGCCATGTGCCACCACCGTCTGGTCAGGCTGTGGTGGTTCTTGAAAACTCCAGTGTTTGTCAGTCCAAATTCTAAAATGTGTTTGTCAGCAGCAAACATCCCCATGGGCCACTTGACAGCTACTAGATTTCTAGGCCTGAAGTTCTAGAATTTTCTTTTACTATCTAAGCAATTTCTAGACAAAGTAGTGGCAAGGTTTAGACAATAAGCTGTCAATATGATGTAGGTGTATTCATGCAGATAGAAAATAGAACATACTCTGCTCAGATACCCATTGGGTAACTCCTTAGATTCTAGGAAGGGCCACTTTACACTGTGGTTGCACTACTATAAGAAGAGAATTTAATAACAAGAGAAACAAATGTGGAACTACTTGGTGGGAAAAATATCCCAAGTATCTAATGTGGATATTGAAATTTACAATGATAGACTTCTTGAAAAAATTGACAATTAAATACTATACGTATAACCTAGGGAAAAAGCCAAAGTTTTGTTCACGGGAAATTTGTAACTTGAATGGCTTTGTCATTAAACAAACATAAATGTTGAAAATTAATTAAGGGCTTCACCAAAAGAAACAACCATGAATAAAATAAAGTAGGAAGGAATTTGTGAAAGTCTTGGTGGATAGCTCAACAGTAGAGCATTTGTCCCATATGCACAAAACCCTGGGTTCACGTCCCAGCATTGTAAAAGAACATAAACCCAAGGAGCACACAGAAATGAAAAGAAAAATGAAAGGGCAGTAGTAACACAGAAAACAATGGGTAGAATCGAGCACTCCATGTATTAGTTTCTTCCCTCTTCAAAGAGCCAGTGAAATGGACAAGCCATTTCATTACAAGGTTAATCTGAAGAGACGAGAATACGTAAATTAAGAGTGTACCTTTAAATCTACAAGTAAACATACTGGTGTGCAAGTGGTTACAAATGAGTTACCTAAAGTAGAATAGACTCTATGAGGGGCTCCAATAACATACTTTTCTTTAGAAAGATTGTCAAAGCTTAAACCAATTACTTTTTTTCCCTCCTCTTTATATTTTATAGTCTAGGGATTGAATTAAAGACCTCAACACACTTGGTAGGCAGAGGCTCTACCTTGTGAGCCTAGCCTCTAACCCTTTTTGCTCTAGCTTGCTTATTTTTTGTCAGCTGGGATCTCTATTTGCCCTGGCCAGCATTAGACTTTGATCTGTCCACCTCTGCTTCCTGAGTAACTGGGATGGTAGGATGTGGTATGACTTCTGTTTTTTTTGTGTGGGTGTTTTGTTGTTTGTCGGTTGTGGGGCTTGAACTCTGGGCCTGGGCGCTGTCCCTCAGCTCTTCAGGTTAAGGCGGGTGCTCTACCTCTTGAGCTACAATGCCACTCCAGTTTTCTAGTGGTATATTGGAGATAAAGAGTCTCACAGGGGCTGGGAAGGTGGCTCAGTGGTAGAGTGCTTGCCTTGCATTCATGAGGCCGTGGGTTCCATTTCTCAGCACCACATAAGCAGAACAAGCTGGAAGTACCACTATGGCTCAAGTGGTAGAATGCTAGTCTTGAGCTGAAGAGCTGAGGGACAGTGCCCAGGCTGAGTTCAGGCCCCATGACCGACAAAGAGAAAAAAAAAAAGAATCTCATGAACTTTCTGACCTGGGCTCACTTTGAACCATGATTCTCAGATCTCAGCCTCCTGAGTAGCTAGGATGACAGACATGAGCCACTGGCTCCTGGCTGGTTGGTTTTTGAGTTAGGATCTCACTGACTTTGCCTGGGAAGGTCTTGAACCACAAGTTCCTCCTTTTCCCGCTTCCCAAGTGGCTGAGATTACAGGTCTATACCACTCTGCTTGGTTTAATGTTTTTTCTTTTTTAAGATATAAAAAAGTTCCTGCATTTACAGTTCGTTTCAGGAGGGCTAATATTTACTTATACAGAATAAACATCGAATGGTTCAATGGTGACCACAGTTTAAACTTTCAGCCCAGACTACCTTCTCAGCAACTTCTTTGGCCCCCACACCCTGAACCATTTTTTCACTGGCTAATGATGCCAGCAATTGACTGTTACTTTGCTCCTGAGCAAAAGCTTTCGGATGAGTCATAGTGTGTCGGAAAATGACAGAAAGGTCCTGGAAATGCTTATTTTTCTGCTGATGAGAATGTCTCTTCCTGTGCCATTGCTCTGTGGAGCCGCTTTTTCTCATGGTGTTTCTTAGGAGCATGTGCTGCTTTTCTGCACAGAGGTGACTATGAAGATAAGGGTCTTGAGTGACTTAGAGTTTACTTTGTGAAACTCAGTTTAGGATTTTATTGAAGACCCTTATTCTTCAGTAAAATGACCTCTTTCCAGATCTCAGCCCAGAAGGAATTTCCAAGTGAATGGAGACTCTTCCCTTGGGGATGAGTTACGTACTCTGTCATGGGGACATCTCAGCGTTAACTTGTGGTAAAGTTTTAAGCAGCTCTCATTTCTAGGATGAAGGTATACATGAGTCATGACTCCTTAAAATAGTCTTTTGACTAGGCTTATATTTTTCTCATTTAGTAGATGTTTGAAACCATACACTGTGAGAGATGACATTGAAGCTTTTAAAAAAAATTCAGATGTATGTTTTTTAAATTAGCTTTAGGTAGTTGTACAGAGGGGTTATACTTTGATCTATCAGCTTTTGGGTACAATGCATTTTGATTAAGAGCAACCCTTCCATTGTTTTAAATGGGAAACCTGGCTTTAGGCAGGAATGTGGCTCAATTTAAATTCCTAGCCTGGATATGCTCTCATGGAGGAGATTGGCAAGTGCACATGCATTCTGGTGTTTCTGTGTTGGAAGTTGAATCCTATGGAGTGGGCAGAAATGAAAAGATAATTTCTTCTGTTACTATGCTAGTGTTTACTTATGTTGTTACATAGTCATCTCCTCTTCCTCCTCTTCGTCCTCCTCCTCCTTCTTTTTGGTGTGTCATGGGGCCTGAACTCTGGGCCTGGGTGCAGTCCCTCAGCTCTTCAGCTCAAGGCTAGTGCTCTACCACTTGAGCCACAGCACCACTTCTGGCATTTTCTGCTTAAGTGGTGCTGAAGAATCAAACCCAGGGCCTCATGTGTGTGAGGCAAGCACTCTACCACTGAACCACCTTCCCAGCTCCCATCTACCTGTTTTTAACCCACGTGCATTTCTAACAGATTTATGCTTTCTCTTCTTCAAACCTGTTACCACTTTCCAAGCAACATTTTTAGATAATGGCTTTAAAAAACAAAAAAATCGACCAGAGTTGTCAAAAGAATCAAGAATTTGTTCCTTATTTGTATTTTGAATATTGTATAGCAGTAAAAAAAGTGAGACACACACCCATATATACATATATATATATATATATATATATTAGCAAATCATATTGGTAGATCCAAAATAAAGTTGTAAAATTCACTCAGTTTATTACTTTGGTAAAAGAAAATTTTAAGCAGTTTTTGTCAGAGCTATTTTAAGAGTATGAAGTTTCAATAAAAATAACAGATATGAACCAAATTCCTATCTTAAGTTCTGCTTAGGGGAAGGGCTGTAGAGTTTGGGAGTGTCAAAAGGGACTTAAGTTTATCTTGTTGGTAATTTTCAAACTCAGACAGTATGTTTTAAGTGCTAAGCACAGACAGCTTAATTGTACCTCTGGCTTTGATGATGGCTTTCATGTTCCTAGGTGGATACTGGTCTTTGCGGACACAATGGATAGGACATTGAGTAACAGGATATGGCCATTGACCAAATTAAAAAAAAGGAAAAAAAATCTCCTTTTGCTATAACATATTTCTTTTTATACGGATACCTCCGGTTCTTCCGTTGACCTTCCCTGTTCCTTAAGCAATCATGGAAATTTTAAGATAGCCTTACAATGAGTGAGGCTTGAAACAAATACAATTGGGCTGACTTCAGCGTGGCCAAGTGACATTCCATTTCTGTATTTATTTCTTTCAACTTTAACACCCACCATTTATTAAGTGAGGCTGTGTATCGGAGCGGAAACTCCAGATCCTGTTTGGACACCGTGGAGGAAGGAAACCCGGTCTTTATAGGGGGCAGCCCTTTCCTCTCAGTCACCGGCCAGGAAAACCATCTTTCTGTATAAAAGCTATTCAATCAGAGAGAGGTGGGGTGACTTGGGGAAGGAAGATACCTCTCCCTTGTAATGTTCAATTACTGTTTCCCCCTGTGCCAGATTCACCTCATTTCCCTCACTGTTTATAAGAACACTTGTGTGAAGGCTTGTAATGACACCAATAGTCACTTAAAATATGGCTCAGATTTCATGCCCTTGAGTTTCCTAAGTTAAATGATTGATAATTACAATCCCTTGTGCGACACACATTCAACCTGAATTTGCCATGGCTCTCTTAGAGTTAATAGCATGCTGCTTAAAATCCAGAATATTTTTATATGTCTCTGTCTGCCTGTCTGCCTGTCTGTCTGTCTGCCTGCCTGCCTGCCTGCCTGTCTGTTTTATCTACATATTTACATATGTATGTATGCATCTATCTGTCCATCCATCCCATTCCCATGTATCAAGATGTATGACTCTTACCAAATCGGAACATGATTAAAGCTAGCTAATGAAGTTGGCCTTTTGTGGAAGCTGACTACTTTCTAAAATAATGCAGGAGTTGTTTTTCATAGGTGTAAGCTGTGTCTACAGGTAGCTTAGTAATTGAGGAAGAGAGGGGGTAGAGGTAGTACAGGTAGAGAGCAGACGTTGGAAGGACTTGTGTGTTAGGAAGGTTTGCTGGCCCTTTGGGCAGTTTTGAATGATTTTGACCTCCACTGGAGCTAAGTTGATTGACTTATTTGCTGTGCATTGTTCCTGAGTGAGAGAAACGCCGATCCCTTTATTTAAAAAAAAAAAAAAGGTTCCTTTTTTGTTCAACATATTTTAATGCTCTATTTGGGGAATAATGTTAAACTTAGAAATGGCAGAGTGTCCTCGGTAACCTTTTGGCTACTTTCTCCTCATGTGAGCATCTTAACTTTACCATGATGCATTTGTCAAAGCCTCTGTCTGGGAAGTGTTATTAATAAACTCAACTTTGGTCTTTGTTTGGATTTTCGTAGCTTTTGCACTAATGTCCTCTGTGGTGTCAGGGTCTAATTCAGAACACCACATGGCATTTACACATCTCGTTTCCCATGTCTCTTCTGATTTATGACAGTTTCCTAGTCCGTGATTTCCCTTCTCACCCCCTGGCCTTGTCAATCTGGAGGAAGATTGGCCAGAGTTTTATAAGCTATCATTTTTGAGAATGTGGAAATGTATAACCTCTGAGATGTTGGAGGGAAAAACAAACAAACACTTGCGTAGTTTAATTTGTACCAATCAACACACCTGTTAATTTATCTTCCTAGCAGATAAAGGACTGTAGCACTAAACATTGATTTAGGATGGATATTTGTTTCATCAGGAATCATTCTACATTCTCTACCTTGTCAAAGTTAGCTTTGGTTATTCCATTTCAGTGACAAAGTTTATACCAGAAACTGGGGTAAGGGGGTGTGTATATGTGGGGTGGGGTGGGGGGTAGATTGCCTGCCTAAAAACACTAGGCCCTGAGTTCAAAGCTATTACCATCCCAACCAGTAGACAAGAGTTGCCTTAATATGGATTCCTTTTGGTTTGAACAGATTAGAGATGGACAACCGAATTGTTATGTATTGAAGAATAAAGATTTAGAACAAGCATTTAAAGGAACAATTTACTTAGAAATGGACCTCATCTATAATCCAGTAAGTCTTACAGCATCATACTTCCATTTATTCCATAACTAAAGACAACCCTAGTGTGTTTACTTGTAGATTTAGAGGCACATTTTAGTTAACCACCAAGGAGAGAAACCATGGGACCTATGTTTCTTTGGATCTGGTTTACTTCACTTAATATAATTTTTTCCAAGCCCTTCCATTTCCTTACAAATGGAATGTGAACTGTACATCTTGTGGGTGGGGATGGGAGGGAAAAACTGGGAGAGAGAGAGAGAGGGAAGGGGAGACATGGTTCAAAAAGAGATGTACTGTAACCCCTCTGTATATCACCTCTACAATAACAATAATGTATGCGTGTGTATGTATGTGTATGAATTCTGCCCTTTTTAACAATGATGTTTTCTAGGTCAAAGCAAGTCTGAGGACATTTACTCCCAGAGAAAAGCGCTTTGTTGAAGATAGCCGCAAGCTGTCAAAGAAGGTAGGTGTGGACCATGAGAAGCAGGCTTGGCACCGTAGTTCAGCACCTGGACCGAAGTCATCTGTTGTGCCTTGGCTTGTGCCTCTTCATCTCCCACCAACGCCTGTCTCCTCCCATATTCCTTCATTTCTCTACTTCTTTGTCATTGTCTCCATCCCAGGAGAGGGTTTTAGAGAGCTTGCTAAGACTCAAGGGGGCAGCGGCTCATGACTGTAATCCTGGCTACTCAGGTGGTGGAGACCGTAGTTCAAAGTCAGCCTGGGCAGAAAAGTCCATGAGGCTCTTCATCTCCAAGGAACCCAGCAAACAAGCTATCAGTGCAACAGTAGCTCAAGTGGTAGAGCTCTAGCCTTGAGTGAATACGCTAACTACGGACAGCACCAGGCCCTGAGTTCAAGCCCCAGGACCGGCACAAAAACAATCCACAACTCCAAAAACATAGCCATCGGGGAAAGAAGAAGCTCTCAGCTTCTAGGATGTCCCTGAATCATCTTCTAGATGACACTTTCCATCGCGGAACATGAATGCTGTCCCGATTTCCTTGGTGGCCCTCCTGTGCTCATTCAACCTTTTAATCTCTGTGGGTCGCAGGAAGCTTTCCTCTCTGCTGATGGTAAAGAAAGGCTGCCCAGCGGGTTTGTGGTGGGGGCTGTGGACCCCGGGTTCCCCAAACATAACTTTTACATAGTCTAAATTTGGTCCCTGTTGACATTTTACCCCACAAGGAATTAACTCCCTCTTCCTGTCACCCTGAATTCCTCTCCGTTGAACAAAAAGTGAAGTTTCGGGACAGAAAGGGGACCTTTCACCTTATTTATTTATTTTTGGATGATGAGCTTGATCGCTGGGTTCAGAGTTCCGCCCCCCCCTTCCCTTGTTTGAGACACACCCTAGCTTTGCATTCTGTCCCCCCAGTCCTCTCGTGTTCGGCAGGGGACAGCGTGTCCCCCTTTTCAGAGTGTTTATTACTTCCACCATTTCCTCTGCGGGGAGCAGCTGTGAAGGACACAGAGCCTCGGGCTATGGAAGCATCTTACCCTGTTGTCCCCTGGGGAACTTTTTGGGTGTGCTGGGCAAAGCCTGTGCCTGTCTTGGAAAGAGACACATCCCCCGCCCCCCGTGTTTAGAGCTGGTCTACCAGGGCCTTGATGTCATATTTATTTTGTGTAATCTGAATTTTATTATTTATTATTATTGTTATGATTGCCTTTCTCTCTGCTTGAAAGTTAAAACCCGACTTAGGGTTGTTGGCTCATCTGCTTTGCAGACAAATTGAAATGAATCTGCCTACCACTGAGAGAGAAAGACATTTCCTTTGCAAAACAAGAACTCCTCCACGTGGGGTGTCTCTGGGCTCTGAGAGCAGCCAGGGATGGGGGATTGAAATCCCGGGGTGTGTCAGGACTCTCTCCCTGTGCTGCTTATTACTGAGCCTCACTGGATGTTCACAACCGTTGAAACGGTTGCGGAGGAGATAAATACTTCAAAGCGATTGGCTATATAGCAGTACTCCTCCCTCCCCCCAGGCCCTTAATTCTCCCGGCTGCTTGTAAGAGGAGATGTAATATTAACCCAATTGGGTGAGAGAGGTTAAGAAACTTGCCCAACATGGCACAGCTAGGAAGTGGCAGAATTGGAATCCCCTTCCCAAATGATATTTTCTCATAAACTTCTGGCCTAGAGCAGTTGTAGTAATTGCCAGTGTCTGCTATTAGTCCGGCCATTTGCTTCCAAACAAAATGCCAACCCTCAGTCCTATTTTTTTAAACTGCTTTCATCTTATTATACTTCTGTATTTTTCTCTCTCAAGCTCTTTCTTTCTTTCTCTTTCCCTTCTTTCAAGCTTTCTGTTTCTTTCTCTATCTCTTTTCTCTCTCTCTTCTTTCTATCTCCTCTACATATGCAGTCCTACTCCAAAATGCCTGGTTGCAGTACTGAGTATTATTGTTTATTACTAAACATTATTAAAACAGATGAACTTCAGAGTAATTGGATGTGCTTTTCCTTTGGGGATAATATTTTAAGCAGAGTTTTAGAAGTAGAGGAGTCTTCCCTTTGCTTATTCCATTGGTACCTCTGTAGGATATAATTTAAATGGCTAGTCTTCTTGATATAAAGGAACTATTTGGAATACTTTTTGTATTTTTTTTTAAATCAGATTTTGTCGAGAGATGTAGACCGGGTAAAAAGACTCTCCTTGGCGATATGGAATACAATACAGTTCCTCAAAGGTTGTTTTCAGTGGGAATCCACGTTGCGAAGTACAATAGCATTCGTGGTAAGTTTCCTTTTATGTCCAAATTAATTGCTGTGTGTTCATCTCCATTGGTCTTTCTATGATATCTCCTGGCACAGAAGGTTATGAAGAAAGTTATCTTTCTCATGCTGTACTTACCCTTACCTAAGGGTGAGAGTTAACATGTGAAAATCTGGTCTTAACTCGAATCCTACTCATACATTGCTTCGTGGCCAGCTTACGGCTGCTGGTATTTGGCAATGGCCCACAATGTTTCAAAATGGTAGCTGAAAAAAAAATCACATGATTCGATTATCCCTAAGTTGGCCCAGTTTAGGTTTTCTGGGAGTCACTCATAGACAGGGATATGAAACACTCGCGTTTGCATCAAGCCATTTGGCGCTTAGCTGATGGGTACGTATTACAATTGGGCTGAATGTGGCAGTGGAGACCCCCACCTTCCTCTCACCAGCTCGTGCTTGTAGAGGTCACAGAACCACAGACTCAAAGCCAGGAAAACCTGTCAGGGGGAGAGTATCGGAATCTTCACAGATGGTACAACGCCTTCATCTCACATCTCTGGGCTTTCCGTCTCATTTGAAAATGGACTTACCCGTAATCAGATTGTAAACGACTTCCATGTCTCCCGAGGGTACAGCGTGCACACTTGGTATTACATCATTAATCTATACAGAACAGAGGTTACGGTAGGAGCTAGTCGGATGAATGAGTGAATCTAGGGCATAGTTTCTGTGGGTGGCGGGAATCTACCTTCGTGTAGTCAGAATAGTGTCAGTGATTTTGTTTTCTCCTATCCTATGAGCCTGAAAAAAAATAGTTCCTAGATGGGACTCAGTTAAGGGTCCCGCTCTCATTTTTTACGCCATCACTATATTTGCTCCATAAAAGGCTGTTGCTGTATCATTCTGCTATAGGAAACTGGGAATTTGATATTTCTTCTACCATTTTGTTTGGTCATTTCAGGGCCTAGAGGAGCTATGTTGCCTGTGGGTCCATTTTCAGTCTCTGTCTCTCTCTCTCTGTCTTTCTCTCTCTCTCTCTTTCTCTCTTGCTCCTTTTGGTGGTTCTGGGGGTTGAATTCAGTCAGAGCCACATACTTGTTAGGCTGGCACTCTACCACTTGAGCCATGCTTCCAGTCTCTTTTTGTGTTGGTTATTTTCCTTGTAGTGTCTCACAATATGCCCCTGAGCTGGCCTGGGCTATAATCCTCCTATTTGTGGTTTCTAATTGATGCTAGAATAACAGGCCTCCTGCATTACCGTTTCCAACCTGGTTTAGATGGAGTCTCATGAACTCGTGTGTGTGTGTGTGTTCCACAGGTCACTCTATGAGCATAGTACGTCTTGGTCCATGTTATGCCCACCATCGTCTCTGCTGTCTTTGGAGTAGGGGAGATTATGAACTTTTGTGCTCGGGTTGGACGGCTTCAGATGACAGTCTCACCAATCTCTCACTCCAAGCAGCTGAGATTAGACTTGAGCCACGACACAGAGCAGACTTTCTCTTTACTATACCTTCTTGCTGTCTAAGCTTCCTATTTGGCTGCAAGAACGAGGAATTCGCTAACCACATCCTCCTTTGTGCAGGCATTTATTATCCATTTCCCTCTCCCAGGTCCTCTTCAGTGGGCTAGGCTTCTGTGCTTACCACCTCGGCCTCCCTTGGATTCTTCTTCAAAACTTCCCACGTAATAATGCTCTGTGCGATTCTGGGCGAAAGGGGGAAATGTGAACACAACTTGTGGTTTCTTCCAGACTGCTGCCGTGAGGACCCAGGGGCTCCTCTTTCTCAAATTCAGTTTCTGGCTCTGTGATTTTTTTTTTTAAAGAAAAACAGGGATCTGTTGCCCTGGGTTTGGGGGTGGTGGTGGCTTAGGATTGGTGGGGGGGGGGAGGTGGGAGATGACAGAAATGATTAATGAGCTGCCAGTCTGATCTCAAGAAAGATTAGAAGAAATGAATAGAAACAGTTTGTCCGGGAGAGAGGACTTCTAGACGGGCGGGAAGGCCGTCCTGGCAGGCCTCCACTTCTCTGCTGCTGTGTTCCGGGTGGGTCTCTCTGCTGGACATCACCTCCTCGCCCAGCCCTGGGCACGGCTGGCAGAGGCAGCCTTGTGTCTTCAGATGTCTAAGACCCACAGCTGCCGTTCTTTTCACTGGTGTTTATGAAACTGTCTGTGGACAGGGAGCTATTTCCCTCAGGGTATCATTGAAAAGGAAAAAGAAAAGAAAAAGCAGCTAGTTACAAACTCCATATAGTTCAGCGTCTGTATTGGAAAGATTTGCAGAGTGGGGGGGGGGAGAGGGGTGAAATGACATCTGTATAAATAAATTTAGGCATCCCCCACCCCCTTAATGCAACAGGATTACAATGACTTCCATTTCATTCACATTTCTTCCGCCTGTGTCCCATTGGCATATATGTCCTGTGTCTACATTCGCGAACCTATACCTGAGTTAGAGTTGCCTGTGTTGTACCTTACAGGTCATCTGGAGCAGGGTGTGTGTCGCTAACATTGCACATCTGGGCGTGTGGGGGTCTGGGCGGAATGTCCTTGTACCCCTCCCCCACAGAGTCCTTGGGGTAACTGCGCACACAGAACCACAGCATGGGAAGGCATCTTGAGTTTCATCTGAAACTTCACACTCCAGGGGCCCTAGCATGTTTGTGTTGCTTAAGTATGGAGCATCTCCCACAGGGACGCTGAGCGTTCTTAGCTCTGAGCTCACCAAGTGTGAGGTTTTACTAAAGGTTCCCCGTGATCATGTCAAAGCCATTTCTGCTATTTAAATCAAGAGGTTATAAAGAAAATACTTTTTGTTTTTGGAAAGGACCAAGTGAGAATTATTTTAGCTCTCTTCTAGTCTACTATTTTATTTATTACTTATTTATTTATTTTTTGTCGGTCATGGGACTTGAACTCTGGGCCTGGGTGCTGTCCCTCAGCTCTTCAGCTCAAGGCAAGCACTCTACCACTACTTCTGGTTTTCTTAGTGGTTTATTGGAGATTAGAGTCTCATGGACTTTCCTGCCTGATCTGGCTTTGAAGTGAGATCCTCAGATCTCAGCCTCCTTACTAGCTGGGATTAGAGGTGTGAGCCACCAGTGCTGGGGCTTTCCTTAGTTATTTCTTAATGACAAGATTCATTTGTTGTGTGGGATCATCCCTTTTTTCTTGTATGGCTTTTTTGTTTCGGCATAGCGGTCTGGTGGTGCTGCCACTGGGGATGCCAGTCGCGATGGTACTGTATCTGTGAGTCTCCAGTGTAAGGTGTCTTTCTGTAGAGCCTTGAATTTTCAGGTGAGGTGAGCCAGAAGTGGGCACGGAGGCTCATCGATGAACCTGGGTCTCTTCTCTGCCTTCTCTGGAAGCATCTTGCATGTTCCACCTGCTTGCCTCTGCAAATGCAAGACATGACTCTCTGCTGTTCCGAAGCCCGCTCTTCAGCCCACAATGGATTCAGATGACCAAGTTCTGCCTGAGCTTCTTCTCCATCCACGGGGCGTGGGGGCAGAGGACACGTGGAAGGCTGGGTGTACAGGTGTGAAAGGAGTCACCGTGGCAAAGCTGGTCCCAGCGGGACTCTTCCAACCTCCGGAAGTACGGGCAGGGTGGCCTGCCACCCTCGGGGCAGAACGGAAGGGCTGAGTTCTTTTCTTCCTTTTCTGGGTGGCGAATGACTGTAAAATCGTCTGTTAGCTTCATGTGCGTGTGTTTATTTCCGGTTGATGCAGAACACAGCGCTGCCTTGGAGGGTTGTGTGTAGTCTAGGCCAGCGATGAATGTTCAGACTTCATGAAAGAAAAATGACACGTTCCTCTACGATGCCTTAGCCCAACAGGAACGCCTCGCTGTCTTGTGGGAAGCCGTTGTGAAAAGTACAGTCAACGGCCTTGCGAGATCCAGGTCCTCATGGACGTGATCAGAACGAGGTGGACAGAAATGGGAGCACCGATTTGTTAGGTCGCATAAACCTCGTCCTGTTCCACCATGAGCTTTGTCCTGGGAACCCATGTGAGTGACACTCTCCTCAACCTGGAGAGAGGAAATTCAGATCAAGTGAAGAGGTTATCATTGCTAGATTCATTGCTATTAGAAAAATAATTTTGCACTCTTTGGAGTAGACAAAAATCCCCTTTTTAGACTCATTTCCCTTCCCTTCCCTCCCTCCTTTCCTTCTTCCCTTCCTTTACTGCTCCCTCTTTCTCCTTTCTTCCTTTTCCCTCCTTCCTTTCCTTCTTTTCTTCCTTTCCCTCCATCCAGCCTTTCCTTCCATCCTTTATTCTTTCATCCTTTATTCTCTTCCTTCTCTCCCTTTCCCTTTCCCCTTTCCCTTTCCTCTTCCCTCCCCTTCCCTTCCCTTCCCTTCCCTCTAGACATATTTTATTAACCCTGTGTTTTTATCTTTCCTGAAAGTTTCCTAAATACTTTTATGTAGTGCCTTTTTTTTAACGCTTGACTAAAACTTATTTGAGGCCTTATCCATATGTAATGGTTATCTTCCTCTCCTCTCCCCAAAGCCGCATTCTTGATGTTCTAAGTTGAAAGACAAATTAATACAACATGGCACTTGACTGCCAGTGGCCTAGCGCTGAGTGTCTTTGCGTAGTCTCGTGTGGGTAGATTTGTACATGTAAGCCACTTTTCGTACATGGACTCCTGCTTCTGCCCCAGCAGGCTTTGCAGCTCACCCATCTTCACAGCTCAGGTTATTCCATTGGTTCAGATTCTAGCCCGAGCACTGTACTAACGTTAACTCATTCAGTTCTAACAGCAACGTACTGATGCCTAATAATAGGTACTGTTGCCCTCTTCTTTGTACATGGTAGAACAAGCCTCTCTAGGTGAAGGGACCTGTAGGAGCTCATATGTTTTTAAAAGAGACAGAGCTGGCACTACAGGATGGATGTACGTGTGATCTGTTCCTGATATCAGTGTGCCACTTTGCTGTGTACCAGACAATAACATGAGAGCCGTTATACCCAAGACTTCAGGTGTGCGTTTAGACAGTGCATCGGA